TGAGCCAGTTTTTCGCGAACTTGTTCGTGTTTGTCCGATAACTAAATGAGCATAATTTCATGTTCGAGTTCGGATCGATTACTAAACGGACGAGCTGTTATCTAATACAACCAAAGACTAACGAACTTTGTTCGCAAACAATTGATAACAACCCAAGTTAGTGCATGAAGTATGAAACTATTGTATTCATATTTTGACAGATAAAAATTTGTCCACCAAACCATATGTCAAAATTTCGTAATTTATACTAACCAGTGTCCACTGTGGACACAGGAAAATTAAATATTGCTGCACAAAAATATTCACCTTCAAATATTTAGGCTATATTTGGTACATAAATAAGTCAACTTATAGCTTATTTGGTTAGCTTATAAACTCTCTGTATTTAAATAAACTCCGTTTGGTAGGACGAGCTTATTTGATAAGCTTCTTTGGATATTTTTTAAAATAAACTCGTTGAAATTTTTATTCAGCTAGATTATCAGCTAATTTTACCAAACACTTTTATCATATAATCTAGTTTTTCAACTATACGTCATAAGTTATAAATTATAAACTCAAAAATTACTGATAAACTAGAAGCTAATTTATTAGCTATCAAACTAGTTTATCAGATAATTTTACCAAACATAGCTTAATATCTCCTTCATTTTTAACATGGAAAGCCACATATTGCATATAAGCATAAAGCTTCTATTTCCTTAAGAAGCGTAACTATTGTCTAAATGGCCTTTTGGGAGCTACTCTTTGCTAATAGAAAGACAACCCATCAGGGCTCCACCATTATTAGTAATGAAAAGAAAAATCCCTCTTTTATATAATTTCAAAACGTGCTGAGCCTAAATGGCTGGCTAGCACGTTTCGAAATTTTACTTGACAACATTACATACTTTGTCTTTTGGCTCGAATAAAAATTAATATAATTACATTCCAAAATAAATAGGTTCGGACTTACTATAATTACATTCCTTACTTATTATAAATCAAAATATTTCATACCAAAGTTATTATATTTAATCCAAATCATTCCATAACACACATTGTATATTTAATCCAAGCATTCTATAAAATAAAATTCGTAACACTCCTCATCCATTTTAGTGCATATCAACACATGCGAATTGTATGGGACTAAATTCAATATATTCATTTTGTTTTGACTTTTAATAAACATAAATGTATAATACTAACATAGACCATTTGCATATTTCATACTTTTCTTAGTTAATTCATATTTTAGTATATTACTTATTATAAATATGTATTCTTTTTATTTTTAAAACTTTATAACTTTTTTAATTATATTTTACTTTTTACATATGATATATCAAAATAATCATATTTTAATGATGTTCGATATGTGAAAGTCAACATGATGACTCACCATGCCAACATGGACAACTCCATACCAGCTCATCACATGACACGGGCCCATGCACAGTACCAACTCAGAAAACGTAGCTCACATGCACTCCTGCATGTATTTTGTCCATTAGCTTATTTGTGATATTGCTTTATGTACTGAAGGGACATGATTTATCCTTGATGTATTACATTTCATCTTAGCCGTAGGATAGCTTTATTGTAGGGATATAAAAGGGATCTGTAACCTAGCCTAGGGTTTATGAAAAACTGGGAATAGCATATTTTGAGTATGAAACCTGCTACTACATTTATGAAGATGCAGATTTTCCTTTTTGATGCTTTCACCATTTCCTTTCATGGTATCAGAGCGGGTTAACACCTGTCTCTGATCCCTTTTTCCTTTTAATCCCTTTTCAGCCCTTCATCATGACAGAAAATCGAAACAGTAATGGTCAATCCACAAACCAAATCATTTTTCCACAGAGTCAGCTCATTTCAGTAAAGTTAGATGAAAATAATTTTCTTATCTGGAAGCAACAAGCTCTTACAGCCATTAAAGGCTACGGTCTTGAGTCCTTCATCAAGAAAGACAGTAGAGCACCTCCAGAAATGCATCTCGTTGGCACCTCAGAAGAAGTAAACCCAGATTATGTGCTATGGGAGAGACAAGATCAGATTCTTGCATCATGGATCCTTTCATCTCTGACTGAAGGTATTCTCATTCTAACTGTTGGGTTAAACACTGCAAAAGAAATCTGGCTAGCTCTTGAGAACAAT